AAAAAATATATATATATATATATATTACATAACAGTTGGAATTACCAGACACATAAAAGTGAAAAATCTTTCATCTAGGATCATCGATAACTCCGTGGCATGAGTGCACATGCCGTAGCACATAAGCAAAGTGAGTTAATACTCCCATTAAATTTTCCCCATTGTGTGAAGCTGGAAGGGCTGCGTAACCACTGACCTATAAGTTGTTACCAGTCAAATATTTTCACCTAAGTTTGCTCCAAGTATTGAGTATCTATAAACAAAATGAATTAAATACATGCAAAAGATGTGTATGTGTATCGGTCCTACTCCTGACTTGTAATTGGCAGAGGGGAATAAGGAGGAAAAAATGGTGAGGTAAGTGATTGCAGAAATGAGCAAGTTCTTAAAGGAACTGTGGCAAGTGTGGATCGTTAGTTTTAAACTACTTCAAGCAAGGGCTTTTCCCTGGATTAGTGGAAGAGGTGAAGGCTTGAATGCCATTTCTACATATTGGTATACCAAACCAGGCGATATTGCAGTAAACCATTACTGGGTGGTAGGATGAGAAAGGGATAATTAGAGGGTTTATGTTGATTAAGAAAAACAAAAACGATCATTTTTCTTAAAGTCGACAATGAAATAGGTCATCTTAATAATATATAGCATGTCTAATACATATTTATGGATTAGAATACCTCTTATACTTTAAACAAATATATTTTTTGTCTTTCAAAAGAAAATGGCGAGGTGGTGACATTGAGAGACTCTAGATGGTTTTCATCTAATTTTATTGAGAAAATTTGTGATTATGATGATAAGTAAGAAATTGATATTAAAAAAGTTAAAAGAAAATGTGTCTACTAGATACCATAATACGAAAGTTGAGAGAAAGTTTTTCATTTTAAAAAATGAAAAGAAAGATTTACTTATCTAATCATTTTAAGAAAATTAAATACTAAAAATGTTAGCCATACTCTTGACTTGTTCTAGTATTGCGAGATGAAAATTACTAAAATACGGGCGGCAGAAAAAACCTTCCCAAATACCAAACAGCACCTGAGCTTGTTTTGGGCCAATCCTTCCCATCTGGCTTAATGGGCATTTGTCCAAAGATCCATGGACTATTTCTTTCGCTAATAACTACAACCAAGCTGGCACATGCGCCTGCCGACTTAGGAATTTACGATGGGCCACTTGATGCATTTTCCCTAGGGGTGGGCAAAAACCAGTTCAGTTAAACCGAAACCGGTTTTTAAATAACCAAATTTTTTTTTAATTTTAAGAACCGAAATTGAACCAAACTTTTTACAAACCGATTATTTTTATTACCAATAAAATTGATTCGGTTTTTATTTT